CCCCAAAACCCCAAAACCCCAAAACCCCAAAACCCCAAAACCCCTTTCTAGAATTCTAAAATAGAAAATTGGTTATTTGGACAACACCAGAAAATAAGCATGATTCAAGAGGCATTGATTTAAGGTAATTTCATCATTCTTATAATTCAAACAAGATTTGATTACTCAGTTCCTTTCACTATTTTTTGGACCCTGTAGGGTTCGTCATTCCTTTTACCATAGTTGAATGTGACATCTCCTGTCCCAGAGTTTACTTTCATTGTAAAGAAACCTTTGTTGTATTTTCCATGGAATCCATATTTGTCCGGATTGAAGGCATAGATCATCTCCAAAGTTTCATCAAATGGGATAGTCTCATCTCTGTCCTCTCTTTGAACGACTACTGGTCTCTGTAATGTAACTCTGCTGGTCATTCCGACGTTAGTAGAATCAATAATAGTGTAAATGTTCTCAGCGTTATCTTTAGGTTTAGCACGTCCTTTGGAATAAGCATCATGAATAACAGGGACACCGTCCATCCCAGCCGCCGTTGGGTCAATGACCACCACCGGAGAATTGAGCATACCATCTCCAAAGCCCACACTCACATAATAATTCCTAGGCATGGTCACATAAAACCTAAAGTTCTCTTTCTCTTCATCCAAGTGCGCTCTGATCTTGATCTCGAAGGCAGTCTCTCTGTTCAGGACTAGTTCTTCCAAGCAGAAGGATGGGCTATAGGAACGGAGGTAAGGAAGGGTAGGGTGGCTGATATGAGTGGGATTAAGATAGTTGTTGAAAGCAGAGATGGGAATAATAGAGAATGTAGAGGGTTGATGATTGCTCTTGCATTATGTAGTTTTTAGTCTGGCCTTTGGAGAATGTTATATTTGTTCAAACCTTATATGGCCTAGCTAATGGCTTTTTAAGAGCTTAAGTTGGAATTTAGCTTTTAAGTTTCCTCTTTGAAGTTTACTCAATAATCTAATATTTACTATATAAATGCTCTAAAATAGGAGCTCAGGATTTTTCTTAATTAGAGCATTGGCCTGGCAAAATCCTGTGCGATACAGCAAAATAAATGATATTTTAAGATTATATTCTATGAGCCAGGCAATTCTGGTACTCAAAAGGAAAATGCTCTGATCAAAAATTTCTCAGGCAGCTCAATGAGATATGCAAGATTGTTTCGTAAATTTAACTCCTTTGGATGACTCATATAAATGTCTACGGTTTAGATTAGACCTCTCCGGAGTTCTAATCGCGACATATTGTTAAAACATGTAAAATTGTAACACTAAAACAGCACTAGAGCTTACTAAACCTTCTATAAAATTTGACCAAACAAAATGAGGTTACTTACCCTATGAAGGCTACAGTTAAAACCAGGAGGAGGATAAACTTCATATTTTTAGATAATATTGTTTTCAACGTGACTTTAAATATAGGGGTTTTGGGGTTTTGGGGTTTTGGGG